GTTCCCGCAGAAATTCCGCTTCCCAGCGTTTCAGCAGCACCTTCAGCTCCTGCTGCCGCTCCATGGCCGCGGGATCCGGGATCGGGAACCGGAGATCGGGAACCGGGAACCGGGGATGGGCGATCGGGAACGGGAACCGGGGATGGGGATCGGGATTCGGGGATACAGGGACAGAGCGAACTTCCCTCTCCCGCCAAACGCCAGCCAATGGGAATGCAAGGATTGCTGATTGACAGTAAGAGGAGCCAATGGGAAGGCGGGATTTAAAAACACCCACCTACACAGCGCGCAAACCAATGAGCATTTAATAAAACAATAACAGACAGCAGTAAGAGCAAATAAAACGTAAGGAACACGCCCCCGGGGTGGGTCTCGCTCGTTGATTGGTTGAAGTAACGCGCAGACGCGGAAGTGGAGCTTCCGTACGGGCTCGGAGCGAGCGGGGGCTGCGGGTGGGCGGTGAGTGGGAGGCGCCATGCTGGAGGGGGCGGCGGGGTCATTTTTGGGGCTCCCTGAGGGGACTTTGGGATAATTTAGGGATCCATGAGGGAATTTCGAGATCCCCGGGGAAATTTCCGATCCCAGGGGGATTTTGGGAAGTCCCTGGGTGGAGTGGGGGTACTCCGGGACGCCGTTTTTGGGGAGCCGCGCTGGGGGTTCCCTCACAACGAGCCCTTTGCCGCCCCCACCTTCTCCCACATCTTCCCTTTTCATCGGGATATCCTTGGATTCGGGCTTTCCCTGGAATTCTTCCGTGGTTCCCCCTCATCCCGGGGGTCCCCCAATTTCACCTAATACCCACAGCCCCGCAGAATCCATGGATTCCCTCCTTTTCCTCTGCGCCCGCCGCATCGTCGCCCACCGCCCTCTTCCCTCCCTTCCCGCCGATCTCTATCCCGTCCTTTTCCAAGCGGCATTACTGGATGGAAGACCCCTGGTCCTGCGGGATTTGGTGGCCGCTTGGCCTTTCCCGGTGCTCAACTTCCAGCGGCTGGTGGGGCGCCGGGAGCTGCTCCGGGATCATCCCTGCAAGCTCTGCGTCCAGGCCGTCATCCTGGCCGTGGTGGCGCAGCTCCGGCGGGAGCTGGAAGAGCCCGACCGCGATTCCAGGTGGGTTTCGGGAATTCCTAACCCCTAACCCTTCCTCCAATTCCTTCATTTCCTCTGCCCTTTTTCACCGTTTCTTCCAATTTTGCAGCCTGAGGGTGTTGGATATGACCGGACTCCCAGATTCCGCGTCCGGCCGCGCTCCGGACGGGATGAGCGTCTGGTCCGGCACCGTGGCTTTGGCCAAGGCTTGCGTGGAGGTTTCCAAGCACCAGCGGGAATTCCAGAGGCGCGGATCCAAGCGGCACAAAGGCCGATCCGGAGCCGCCACGGCCGCGGCCGCTCCGCAGCCCCCGGGCGTCGACGTCCACGCCGACCTGTTCGTCAACGGAACGTCCTACGGGATCCTGCGCGACGCGCTCCAGACCGGAGCCGCCGGCCCGCTGCGCCTCAAGTGCCGCGAATTCCAAGCGGAGGAACTCTCGGCCTGGCCGGGATCGTGAGCCTGTTGGAATCCTTGCATCCCTCACGCGTGCGGAGGGTGGATCTTCGCTTCAACAATTTGGGCTTGACCGGGCTCTCGGTGATCCTGCCGCACCTCTCGCGCTTCCCGGAGCTGCGCAGCCTCAAGCTCCAGTACAGCAACGTGGACGTGCGGCGCCCGACGCCGGAATCGGCCATCGGGATCCGGTGCCTGGCCGGGCAGCTGGGAATGCTGCCCAGCCTCCGGGAGCTCAACCTGGGATCCTCCCGGCTCTCCGGGAATCTGCGCCAGATCCTCTGGTGAGTTCCCTGCCCAGCGGGGGCCTGGCCGGGCCCTTCCCGCGCTCCGGGGCGATTCCCAAGGGTTGGGGATCTTGGGGGTCTTTTCCAGCCTGAGCGATCCCCTGCTTCCAGGATTTCATTATCCTCACGTTCCCATCATTCCGTTTTCCCAATAGTTCATGGCTCAACGATTCCATTGCTCCATAAATTCCTGATCCCAGAATTCCGTAATTCCAAGGTTCCCAAAGGCTGGACTCAATGGCCTTGAAGGTCTTTTCCCGCCTGAATGATCCATTGGTTCCAGGAATTCATTCTCCCAACGTTCCCATGATTCCATTATCCCGGTATTTCGTGACTCAGTGATTCCATTCCCCCATAATTCCGTGCTGCCACAATTGCAGGAATCTCAAAGGTTTGGCTCCGTGGTCTTGGAAGTCTTTCCCAACCTGAGTGCTCCTGTGATTCCAGGATTTCATTATCCCGATGTTCCCAGGATCCCGTGATTCTGTTACCCCAATACCTCATGACTCAACAATTCTGTTATCCCATAAATTCCCGATCCAGAATTCCTTAATTCCAAGGTTCCCAAAGGACTCAATGGTCTTGAAGGTCTTTTCCTGCCTGAATGATCCATCAGTTCCAGAAATTCCTCCTTCCAATGTTCCCATGGTTCTGTTTTCCCAATAATTTATCATTCAATGATTCCATCATCCCGTAATTCCACGATCCCAAAATTCCTTCATTCCAGGATTCCCAAAGGTTGGATTCGATCATCTTGAAGCCTTTTCCAACTTTAATGGATTCGTGGTCCCACAATTCCATGATCCCATAATTCCAGGACTCCCTGATCCCAGAATCCCAATATCCCACGATTCCATAATTCCAGAACTCCGTGATCCCAACACCCCACAATTCCACAATTCCCTGGCTCCACGATCCCATCATTCCATGATTCTCAAAGGTAAAACTCCATGGTCTCCGAGACCTTTCCTGAATCATTCCACAATTCCATGCTTTGATTCCACAATTCCGTGATTCCTTGATCCCATAATTCCATGATTCTCAAACCTTGAACTCGATGTTCTTGGAGACCTTTCTCAACCTCAGCCATTCCACAATTCCATGATTTGATCCCACAATTCCGTGATTTGATCCCACAATTCCGTGATTCCTTGATCCCATACTTCCATGATTCTTAAACCTTGAACTCGATGGTCTTCAAGCTCTTTCCCAACTTCATCCATTCCACAATTCCATGATTCGATTCCACAGTTCCATGATTCGATTCCACAGTTCCAT